CTGCGCTTTCTGTAAACGCCAGGGCACCCGAGCCCGGAGGCGCCCGGCAGCAGCAGTGTCTGAGTCCCACGGCCTGCTGGGCGCGCAGAGCGGACTTCTCCCGCGAAGAGACGCGGACTCCAGGGGTCAGCTTCAAACCCTGCGCGCGCTAGCAGACACCTCCAGAAGTCCGGGCGGTGTCTCTCCACCACCGCCTCGGAATCCACCTTGGGGACCCGTGCTGCACTGGACAGGAACGCTCCCCAATGGGCCAGACCGCCTACACAACAGTCCGCCAACCCCCACCCCCGCCACTCCCAGGCTGGGGGCAAGTTAGCCCGCAGGAAAAGGGCTCCTGGCCAGCCCGGACAAAACAAAGGCCAGGCAGAAGCATTCTGGGCTCCCCGAGATCACGTGGCTTCTGCGGGCACCGACTGCCACCCTCAGGATATCCACAGGACAATGCAGTGAACCCGGCGGCCGCGGGTTTTTGCTGAAACAGTGCCCTGGCGGGCGTGTTCCAACTGGACCAAAGTTCGCGCCCTCCACCGAACCTCCGCCGGCAGCTCTCGCAGCCTCGCACGTTCCACTTCCTCCACCGCCCTGGTGCCTCAGAAGGCAAACACGCGGAGGGATCACCCCCCGCCACGGCACTGCGCGCCACGCACCTTTCCTGAGAGCCCACAGCCAGCCTCTCACCTCGAAACCTTTCCGAGTGGAACACCTTGAGTTAAGTTTAAGCCCCACATTTCTCTCTCCTCGCTTCCAGTTTTACCCAAAGCACGGGCTTTCCTCAGTAGGTTTTTTCTTTGTTTACAAATTCAGTCGTCTGGGTCAGCTCCAGTTGTGAACCATATTTGCAAATTTATTAACACACTATCTTTAATTTTGAACACATTCTCAACTTTGATTTCTCTGTATCATACACTTCATATTTTTTCTGCTACTGTAAATTATATATGTGGATTAAACCCAGAGACTTTATACTGAGCTACTCCACCACCTCTTAAATTAATTAATTTCTTTATTTAATTTTGAGGCAGGGTCTCTAGAAGTCACCAAATTGCCCAGCCAAGCTCTTTTGTCCTCCAGCCTCCCTGGAGTCTAGCGCCACACCTGACTTCTAAATTATGTTTTTAAAAATTCTTTTTTTTTTTTTTTTTTTTGGTGGAACCGGGGATTGAACTCAGATCCTTGCATTTGCCAGTCAAGCGCCTATCCTACTGAGCCATCTCCCCGGCCCCTATGTTTTTAAAAATTCTCTATGGGCTAAAACCAGCTTATTAATGCTACAGTAAAGAATATTTTTAGAAGTGCTGTGACTCCATAAAATCAACTGATGACTCCGTTTTAAAGTCAGATGTATCTAGGAAACAGCTCTGTCATTCTGTCCATGGTGAAAAGGATACGCTGGTGGGTGAAAAGCATCCAGCACGGACAGTCATACCTGCACGGCGTCTACCAAAGACATCAGAGAGGGGCAGGGAAAGACGGGAGCACTATCACTTCACTTTCATAAATAGTTTGTAGAGGTTTTGTTGTTATTGTTCTTGCTGGGGTGTTTTATTCTTTTGAGACAGGGTCTCACTCTGCAGTTCAGGCTGGCCTTGAGCTCACTCTGTAGCCCAAGCTGGTCTGTTAATCCTCCTGCCCCGGCCTTCCAAGTGCTGGGGTTCCAAAAGTGCACCACCACCTGTGGCAAACAGTTTGCTCCTTAAAGCTCCCTGAGGCAACAGCTACGCAAGGTCCACAAGGAACTGAACACTTGAGTCAAACAGACCTTCTGCCTGCCTTCGAGGACCGATACAAGCCAATCACAGGACGGCACTGCGTGGGAAGTGCCTCACCAGACTCAGTCTACGAGGACCAGGGAGGCTCTCTGGAGTTAGGACCCCGGGGGACTGGCCCAGCACCTAACAGCCCCAGGGCTTGGACCCAGCTCAGCCTTCAGCTAAGAACAGATGTAAGACACAGTGACATTAGTGTGCTTGAGGTCATGACCACAGCCAGGGGCAGGGCCAGCTGCACTACCCCAGTTTACCCCCAAGTGTGACAGGCAATACACAATGCTGTCAGTCACGCTGGGGTGCAGCCTGCAAAGTGAGAGACTTGGAGCCCAGCAAAGGGACATCAAGTAAAAAAGGTGCATGCAGCAGGCAGGAGGGCTGCCACCCACTGAGACACAAAGGAAGCAGAGTCATCCCACAGGAAGTGGTGAGAAAGGGCCAGAAGAGAAGGGTGGAGCCAGTTATTCAGGAGGCCTTCTTTAGAGAAATCCCGGAGGCAGCCACAAGAGAATGGAGAATAGGTCCGAGGAGGAAGAAAAGAGGCTGATGTGCCCACAGGAAACTCAGCCACCAGCACAGTGGACCTAAGGGACAGATCTGGGCACTGGAGCCCAAAACTAGTTCCAAGCCCAGACACGAGTTCCGAAAGGATTATGCAACCCAGGAACACAGTCTGGAATACAGCTCCCCCACGTGGCTCTGTCTAAAATACTAATGATGTCCACGGACAGTGTGGGCCCACTTTTCCCATTTTACAGATGGAGAAACTAACTTGCCTCATCTGCCACAGCCAACAATGCCAGAGAAGTAAACACCAGAAGACTAATAATGTAGCTTCTGTTGATGCCCTAAAGAAATCAACTGACCATGACAAAGGAATATCCAGAGGGCTTTATGAATAAATTATAAAATAGGAGGATGTTTCAAGGATGATTACTTGGAAATAGGGGTCACATCCTTATCTTATGACACTTGTTGATAAAACTGCAACTCAGTGGGAACAAGGCATCAGAGAAGTATGTGTGTGGACGTTCGGCCTGGTTGCCACTGAATTCTGCATCACACAGGTTAACCACAGATGGAGGCTTCGTATGCAACACCTGGAGAGGGGCGAGGAAAAAGCAGGAGATACACAGGAGCTGGGCGGAGCTCATTACAGGCGACCTGCCTTCCCACCGTGCCAGTCAGCAGCTGCTATTGTCCCTTCCTTGGAGAATCCAGAAATCCATGCTTCACACAACGCATGGATCTACTTGCAAAATTCCAACACGTCTCTTATGAGACTACAGTAAACAGGCTTGAATTTTTTGTACTTAGAAAAAAAAAACACGAATGTTTGAGACAAAGAGCTGATAATGAGCCAAGCTGTGAAGAGGCTGTAGTTCTGTCATTGCCGGCTATGAATCCAGGACATCATTTTCAGAAAGGCAACATTTGCTATCCATTACTTAGGAACTGCTCCCTGCAAGTAGGTTCCATCACACCCCTCAGGTCCTGTGCTGTCTGCTGCAAAGGAGCCGAGAAGCTGCAATAATGACAGGGAACTTCCAGGAAACTATTAGATAAAGACTGATTCAAAAATACAAACACCACGCCAAGGGCAAGAGGGTGGAGTCTCTACTACACCAGGTGGTAGGCTGAAGCGGGCAACTTGAGCACACACACAATGTAAGCTCTAAGAGAACAGCAAATACTTAAATTTAAATTTTATTACAGTAAAAAACACTGTCACTCAGCAGCAGCATTCACCATATTTTTTCGTCAACTTTTTAAGAAGACACTCAGGAAAGAGGACTTCCAGAACTGCTTGGGAATGTGGCCAGTACCGCGGGCTAAGAGGGAGCCAGAGGGAGGAGGATTCTGAAGGGGAATCGTGGCAGTGTGTTTTGCAAGGTCAACAAGTGTTTAAAACACGCACTGCAGCGTTCAATCACCACCCCATCCACCTCCACCAGACAGCCTGATGGGCAGATGATCTGCGGGCGGGATTACTGTGCGCCGTGCAAATCCCACCGCGCTGTGAATCCTTCATTCTACATACACGGGGGAGAAAATCTCTCCTGAAAACTCAAAGCCGCCTCAAGGACACGCACAAGGTAGGGTTGGGCTGCAGGAGTGGACCTCAAGGCCCCAGCCTGCCGGCTTCCGCAGCTTCCTGGGGCAGGAAGGCCCCCTGGGGCCTCACTTTCTCCAAACACCATTCATAGCCGCGCAGGCCAAGTGCGCAGCCCAGGCCCCTCCTGAGTCTAAGACTTTCGACTTCTTGGAACAATAAACTGAGGCCCGCGGCCCTTTCCCCACCCTGTGGGAAACCGGGGATCCTTCGCTGGCAGGAACCTGATAGAGGGGGCCCAGGCTCCAGAGTTCCAGGCCGGTTTCTTTCTTCCTGGGATAGCTATGTAAATTCCCCTCCCTGGCTATTGAGAGCGCTGGCCCTCTGGCCCCTGCAGGCCACAGCGAAGAGGACCACCCTTTCTGCATGCTGCACAAAGCCTCCAAGCCTCTTTCCCACAGGGCTTCCCCAATTCCGCCCATGACTTCTGACCAGGGCTTTGCAAAATGAAACTCTCAGTGGTGGGAAGATGCCCCACCGGCAGGTGTTGCCTAGCTTAAGGTTTTCCCCGCAAATATCTGACCACTCCTCTTCTTCTCCGGACGTGGACAGAAGCCCACTATAGCTGCGGGTTCCAGCCGCTCAGCAGACAGGGTCCCCTCCTCTAGGAGCACAAACGCCGTGGCGCGCTTCCTTCTCCCTGCGCCCGCGGTTTGCAACGCGCGGGGAAGCAGCGTCTCGGGGTCTCCGGGGCTGCACAGCCTGCGAGGTCTAGTAAGGCGCACGTGAGCCCGGGCCCCGCTGCCCGAGGGGCACGCCTGGCAACGCGGGCGCAGTCCCCGGCCACGCAGGAGCGAGTGGACCCCCGGAGACCGCCCTTTCCTGGCCGCGACGTCCGGACAATGAAGCAACTCCGGAGTACTCGGTCCCCATTCATTCCCTGCGCGGCCGGCACGAAGGTCAAAGTCCCCAGCCACCCTGCACCGCCCCTCACCGCTCTCGCGCCCCTTGATCGCCGGGACAAGGGTGCCCCCGGGGCACTGAGCTCGGGGTTCTAGCGCCCCGGGGTAACAGGATCGGGTCGCACGGAGCGCACGTGTCCGAGGTGCGCGGCTCCAGGGATCGCAGCCGCGGACGGCTTTGTCCCGCTCCCCGCGCCCGCCTGGGGGGCCCGCGCTCACCTCTCGGCTGCCCGCGCGCCGTCACGCAGAGCAGCGCCAGCAGAAGCAGCGCGCGAGCCATGTCGCCGGCTCCCAGCGCAGCGCGAGTCGGAGTCCCAACCAAGACCGGAGCAGCCCGAGCCTCCCCGACCCCGCCCCGCCGCCCCGACCCCGCCCCAACCCCGCCCCGCACGCGCGACTCGGGCTGCCGCGGAATCTGAGCTGCTGCTGCGACAGCGCGCGTCCGAGGCGTTCCGGGCTGGGCACCTACACTGCCCGGCCCGCGACCCCTGGCCCCTCCGCCCCTCGGCCCCGCTGGCCTGGTGACCCGCCTGGGCAGGGCCCTGCGCTGTGCTCGCGCCTTCTGCTGTAAGGCACTTTTCATTTTCGCGCTCACCGCGTTTGGGGCTCCCAGCCCACCCTGTTTCCCACTCCGCCGGTCAGTCTAGGCTGGGAGGGTGGCGAGGATGTCACATCTCTAGTCGTCTCACTGCTAGAGAATGAGAACCGTGGCTTCAAACGCTTTGGTCTCCCCCACCTTCGCCCTTTTTTTCAAATTATTTTTCAAATCGTGTTCATGATAAAAGCTTTTGAATTTCCTGATTTTTTCCTTGAAAAATATTCGCCCTTCGCACTCCTCATGTTTTCACAAGATTCATCCCAGCTAACAAGTTTCTCAGTATAGTAAAGCTTATCATTCCGCATGCACCTTTCGGCTTTTTTATTCGATAGGGAGATGATTTATATGAGCCGTGTGCATCTGTGTGACAACTCTACCAATGCCGGCTTTTCCAAGCATGCCTCCTTAAAGGATGAGTAAAATCTAATTATAATACTTAGTGATTATTTTTGACAGCGTGGAAATACCCAAAAAAACCGGGGGGGGGGTGGCCTGGTCCATTGGAACGAGTGCCAAGAGGCTGGGTGAGCTGGTGCCACCCTGCTAATTTTAAATTCAGGCGTTCTTCACTATTAAGATATTAAGGTACTATGTAATTGTTGAAGTGGTGAGGTAAGTTAGTTGTATGTGAGGAAGCCGTAATCATTTAGGTATTAAATACAGAACTGTGTTTCTGCACTGAAGTAACTGCGTTTGTGCCCACATTTATGTTAGCTACCTGCCCTTTAAAGTATCTTGAAGCGCATGTGTAGACTGTCTCCTGTGTCACCACAGGTCTGCAGGATATGCTCGTGGTAACCCCTGGGGGAGGTGAGTGAGTGACTTCAGGGGTAAAGTCCCAACATTAGAGACAGGCCAGGGCCCGCTGACTGTGGCTCAGCATCCAGAAGCACCCCTGGAAGTCGTGGGGGAGGATCATGGGGTGGAAAGTCTCTCTAGAACTGAGTTCCTAGAAATCTGGCCTGGGTGTCAGCTAGACTGCGTGTTTAAGCTACAGGCAGGGACCTCATCAAGGGCAGCTAGCGGGCAGCACTTTGGGGAGTGAGTAAAAAACATCAAAAGTTATGATGCAATTTGTCCGCTCAAAGTTAAGAAGACTTCCTTCCTGAAAGAAGAATTCCAGAAGCCCTTGGACAAAACGGAGCAGTAAAAATGTCAGAATGTTGCCCTCCAAAACTAAAAACAGAACTGTGCTAAGCTCAATTAAATAATGAAGTCACTACCCCCACAGGATGCCTTTAGAAAGAGAACAGTCCCTCTTACCCTGACTGCTCCAGACCTGTGTGGCATGCTCGGCTCTAAGCTGTTCTGAAACCCCTCACTCTCAATTCGTTTGGTGTCCATGTTATGCGCTCCTCTTGGCATTTGTCCAGATCAAAGACCTCCACGGCCCCCCCTGCCTATCCCCTCCTTCTAGTGTCTGGCTCCCTTGGTGGGGTGTCCCTTGCCGGACCTCGTGGGGCCCCTCTCTCAGTTCCTTTCAGGCCTTTGCATTGGACAGCACTCCTCCTCTTAGATCTCCTTCATAGCAGACACACGTGGGCGGCCTGGCCATACTCCACAAGCTCTCTGCACAGCCCCTCCGGGGCTCCGTGGTCCACAAACCTTGCGCAGGCCTTCCCAGCTCCCTCAACCGCACCTGCCACCCCCGGGGCCTGGCCAGTCCTTCCCTGGGACCTGGATTGAAGCAGGGGTAGCTGAGCCTTGCACCGTGGTCGTTTCCAAGCCTTCCCGACATTCATGTGCTGTGGAGTTTTCCTGCTCCTTCAACTACCTTGAGTTGGGTCTATGTCCTTTGATACTGAGTCCTAACGCATCTTTTTAAAACACATTAGCATGATTCCTTTTCCTTAACAGCCCATCTAACACTTCAACGTTAGGATGCATCTGTGCATCTGCTTTCTGATGTTTAATGACTGATTATGGGCTTTGAGTACTTTGCATTTACACATCTGAGTTTCCAGGGTATAAAGTAAATATATATGTAGATATGTCTATGTAAATATATATAATGGAAATGAATATATAAATTTAACAAACAATTCACACAAGATAAAGCAATGGTAGAATATGTGGGGCTCGTCCCATCCCCTTTCCTGGGTCTGCCTCTGGCTCTGGATCCCCTCCCGACTTCCTGTGACCCATCTTTTGTTTTGCTCTTTAGTTACAATATCAGGTCTCCCTTAGTAAGTGTAATCATTATGTACTATAGTGTACTAATATATAGTGTACTAATATATATATATATATTTAAACCCAGGTATCACACTGCCTGGACAAATAGCAACTTCCACGTTCATTCACCTGGTAATCTTTGGAAAATTATTTAACTTTATTGACCTCAGTTTCCTCTTCTAAAATGGGGACAGGGAGGACAAATATAAAACCTACATCAAAAAGTGGGAAGCAAATGATTCACTGGACTTGAAAGTTTCACCACAGGGCCAGGCAAGGCCTGGCTACCTCGATGCTCCTATTGTCATCCGTGGTTAGGAAGCCGGAACCTGCAGCTCCAGACTGGGGTGTGGGCAGACCTGACCGTGCAGTGTTACAGACAGCTGGATGCCGCAGACAGACCGTCACTCCTTTGCCTGCTCTCTTACCTAGGAGGAAGGCAGGAGAGCCAGAGGAGAGTGGAAGCTGGGAAAGGACATCTTCCCCATAGCCAAGGAGCCAAAGGAGGGACCCCAAAATCGTCCTCGGCTCTATCAGAAACTAAAAGGATTAATTTCTTTTCCTTTTTGGCAGGGAGTCAGTCTTTGGGAACCATGGTGAATGTGTTTTTCTTTTACAAAGGAAAAGAAAGCCAAATTGGAGAAGGCTAGAAGACGGCTATTAGTGGGGACACATAAACAGCATTTGTCCCCTGGTTGCCCCCAGACATCCCTGCCTGCTGGGTGTCTAGAACAATAAAATCCTGCAGCCCAAAAGCTAGGCAGGGACATCAAAGCCTGAAGTAGTAGCAGAGCATCAGAAATGTATAGCTGGACACCAGCTACATGAGAGGTCTAAAGTAGGTGCTGAGGAGCTCAGTTGTCATGGTAGCATTTCCATCTGCTGTCTGTCTGTCAGCTTGCAGCTGGGGCTTCCTCTGCTTCCTGTTAACATCTCCAGTTGTGCTCAGTGATGAAAATATATTAGAATATTCTATACTTTGGGTTGTCTGAGAGCAGCTTTTCTCCACATTTGGTCAAAAAGCCAATTTAGAATCAATTTTTTTTTTAAAAGTGCCCTTGATCTAGTGGCCAAGACAATATTCAAATGTTGGAAAGATGGCATTAGTGCCAGGAAATAGGATTTGTTGCCTGAACAGACAGCACTGTCCTGCCAAGAAGGGTTTCTACAGGACTCCAGAGGTATAGAGTCCTCAGAGGCAACGCGCAGGGCTGCGAAGTCAGAAGATGGAGGGTCCAATCACGCCCCTCTTTGACTTTTACACAGCTTAGGTGCCTTCTTTGACGCTTTCTGTCAAACATGAAAAACAACAGATCCTTCTAGAAGTACTAGCTGCAGTGCTCTAACGCCGGTGATAATAGTGATTGCATATTGAGTCTTCAAATAGCACTTTGTACCTGTGTCTCAATAATCTGATTAAGTCTGTAACCCCACCAGCCCTAGCTTAGTATGGCTGGAAGTCACGGTGACATCTCAGCGTCCCTCCTGCTCTAAGGCATGACAAGGACCATTAGAATTGCCTGGGTGCTGCTCACCCTCCTCAGAACAAGCCTGTCCAAAACTGAGGCGCACCTCCCCTGCCCTGGCACCTGCAGTCCCCTCCCCCTTGGAGTCCCTAGAACCCTTCCAAGCACCTCCCGGGGTACCCTTCTAGTTCCTCCAGGATGGGCGGGGACCACCTGCTCCTCTGTGCCACCCACATGGTCTGTCATGCCATCTCTGCCGCAGCCCTCTGGCGGATTTGGTTAACATACTCGGCCCCTTATCCAGAGAACGCTTCTCCTCCTCGTGCATCTGGGCTCAGCTCTGCCTATCATGGCTGGAACCGGATGAGGCCTCCTGACCGGGACCGTGTGCTGCGGCCTGCAGGTGTGTGTCTGCTGTCCTTGGCTATGCCAAGCATGAAAAGTAAATGATCTCCATGTCCTCTCAAAGTCCTGAGGTGACAGAAAGTAATGCAACCTACAAAGTACAAACAAACAGTTCCGCGTTACAATGACAAAAGCTGACTCTGGCCTCTTCTACAAAGGCCAGTCATCTGGAAAGATAACACCCTGACAGGGAACACTGGGTCCACCACATCCACAGGAGCCTGGAGGACAGAGCTTGGAAAATACCCAGGCACAGATGTGAGGCTCAGAATCCCCAGCCAAGGTCACCTGCCACAAACAGGCTCCCGGAGCAGACAAGCGCAGTGGGAGCTGCCTGACCTTCAGAGGCTCCCTGCATCTTTGTCCCATGAGTGCAGGGCTTAAGGCCTGGGAAGTAGCAACTGCCAACTTGTGGATATTGGGAGCCAAGGCAGGGACCCCCCCTTCTTGCTGATAAGAGGAACTGGGAGCAAGAGAGAAGGAAGTGGTGTCTCCCACCACAGGGCATCTCCCCAGAGAGAACAGCCTGCTAAGTGGAGGAGGTGGATGCTGGACAAAGCCAGAAGAGCATGCATCCTGGGAGGTGGCCAGGAGAAGCTTCGTGAACAACTGAGACTCCTGGTCCTGGAGGATAAGCACAGTCAGCCCCGC